AAAAAAACCATTTGCCCACGAAGGGGGTCAGGGTTTAGGCCCCCCCCGGGTGGAAAAAAACCATTTGCCCACGAAGGGGGTCAGGGTTTAGGGCCCCCCCGGGTGGAAAAAAAACCATTTGCCCACGAAGGGGGAGGGTTTAGGGCCCAAAGGCTCGGTTTTGATCAAAAATCCAGAAAACGAGAGCCCACCCAGAAGCGTCGATTTCAGTACTAAAAAATCGCATTTTGAACTGGGACCCGGGCCGATCCTGGGGTCCCCCTCATTTGGGGTGTTTCTGGAGGCACGGCCCAGGAAAAAAACCATTTGCCCACGAAGGGGGTCAGGGTTTAGGGCCCAGAAAAAAAACCACATGCCCACGAAGGTCATTAGGGTTTAAATATACATAGTAAGAGAGGGTTTAGGGTTTAGGGTTTAGGGTGTAGGGTGTAGGGTTTAGGGTTTAGGTTTTTTGGGGTTTGGGGTTTGGGGTTTGGGGTTTAGGGTTTAGGGTTTAGGGTTTAGGGTTTAGGGGGCCTTTCACCCCAGTCTTGGCATCTTTTGGTGGATCAGGTGCAACGTCTCGGGACTCCATAGGCATGTCCAGGCCAAGCAGCTACAATTCCACTCTTAAAGCCAATAAGGGAAGATATAAAATGTCCCAAGGGCCTACCGAGGTTTTGCATGTAAGGAGCTTCGGGTCGCGAACTACGCTGCTGGCCGAGGTTCCTAGGGTTTCGGGTTTAGGTTTAGGGTTTCGTGCACCGGTTTGGGGATTGCAAGCTAGGGGGGGATCTTAAGTGTTCAGGGTTTTGGAACCTTGATGTCCTGCGCATTGAGAGATAAGGGTGTACGAAGCCCGAAAACAATGTACTGCTAGTACCCGACTCCATCTACAACGCTCACATGCACACACTCTAAGCGGTTTTGTGGGCTTCTGAAGGCCAAATCCGAAAACTCTACACCGCAAGGTACCCTAAACCCTCTGCGTCTTGCCACGATGCAAGGGCAAGTATCGCTCCGACATGTTTCCGCGGGAAATGTCCTCCCAAGTGTTCAACAGCTTCCGGGGCGAGGGAGGAGGGAGTTTAGGGTGTAGGGTTTAGGTTTTAGGGTTTAGGAGTTTAGGGTTTAAGGGGATCAGGGCTTGAGATCTAGGGTTTCGGTGTTCAGGCTTAGAGCTGTTTGGGGGGGCTTTAGGGTTGAGGGGTTCATGGACACTTGGGAAGAGGACAAGGCTCTACGCAGGTGAGCTGTAACATTCGAACCTGAGAAGAAGTCCTCTGGCAGAGAATCATGTAAAGCTACCGCTTCTTTAGGGTTTAGGGTTTGGGGTTTTTAGGGTTTAGGGTTTTAGGGTTTCGGTCTAGGGTCTAGGGTTTAGGGTTTACAGTAGGGTTTCGGGTTGAGGGTTTGGGGCCTTTGGTCTTTCGGAAGATGGCTTAAGGGACATCAGCAAAGGCATGGGGCTTCCCAAGGCCGAAGGTCCCCTTGATATACCCCTCCCTGCCACCCATCCTTGAAGCGGGTATGCCCTAAACCCTGTATGGCCCTTTGGGAATTGGAAATCCCCGCATGGAGGAAGGAAGAAAGCCCTAAACTCACAAGTTTAGGGTATATCGATATCTATACCTATCTATATATATATATATATATATATATAAGGGTATATACCTACGCAATGGGGTATATTTACATATATATATATACACATTCAGATTATAGGGCTACAGCTCTCTGTAGCAACGGCCGGATCCAAATTTGAAGCTGCCGAGCTAGGCACAAACTCCTGATCTCTAAGCCCGAAGCCCGAAGCCCGAAGCGCTAAGCCCTAAGCCCTAAACCCTAAACCCCAAGCCTTGCCAGAAGAAGGGTGCTTCGCCGAAACGACTCTCGGGGCCCAAATGGCACGTCGTCAGGGCAGGCGAAGGTGATTTTCGAGATGACTTAGGGCTGAAAAATTGCGGAGCATAGGAATGTTCAGGGATGTGTGTTTAGGGTTTAGGGTTTGGGGTACGGGTTAGGGTTTCGGGTTGAGGGCTTAAGGGGTAGGGATGCTTCAGCAAGGAAATGAGGATACAACTGGGTCCCCATAGAAAGAGACAAACACCTGACTCGACCACACCCCCCACCCAAGCGACGTTAGGACGATGCAGGCTTGGTTAAGATCTGGCCACAGCCCAAAAAACCCCTAAACCTTACAACTACAATGTAAATCTGGGCGCCAAGAGCTTCGGCATATGGTAGGCCGTGTGAGATGCCAACGTTATAAGGTTTAGGGGGTACGCCAAGCTCGCCTTCAAATGGACTGCTTGCTGCGAGTGCTGGGAGCAGGGCATGACTTGCCCCACTACAGGAGTTTAGGTAGGTAACCCTAACACCTAACACCTAACACCTAACCCCTAACCCCAAACCCCAAACCCCAAACCCCAAACCCCAAACCCTAAACCCTAACCCTAAACCCTGAACCCTAAACCCGAGACCCTGAACCCAATAAAACCTCACCACAGGCGATGTCGGGCACCTTCATGGACTCCTCATCGCTCAGCGGCTTGCCCTCAGTGCGACGAGCTCGCTAGAGTTTTGGGTTTTTTCGGTTTAGGGTTTAGGGCCTATGGTTTAGGGTTTAGGGCGCTGAAAAAGCAGCTCCCAAAACCGGGGGGGGGGGGGGTTGCTAAAATAGGGGACCCCGAAAATAGACCCCCAAACCGTAGGACAGCCTTCATCAGGACCCCAATAAGGCACCCTTTGACATCCCAATGGGTCAACTACCACAACCATCCCGAGTGGCCTGCGCCCCTGGTATCTGGTTGGTTTCTTAGGGCTTCAGGCTTCTCATGATGCTTTTCGCGAGTGTACCCTAAACCCTAAACCCTAAACCCTAAACCCTAACCCTAAACCCTAAACCCTAAACCCGAAACCCTAAACCCTAAACCCTAAACCCTGAACCCTAAACCCTGAAAAAACCGTACCCTTTACAAAGCCTGAAGCCCTTCGAGTCCCCAATGCCGTCAACCCCGAAACCCTGAAACCCTGAAACCCTCCGGACGTGCACCCCGAAAAGCCCTGTAGGGTTTAGGGTTTAGGATAATTTAGGGTTTAGGGTTTAGGGTTCCAAAGTCTAGACCCAAGAGTAACCGAATAAAAAGAATGTCCATTTTGGCCTAAAGGGGCTTATCAGAGAACCTAAACTAAAAAAAAAGAAACAAGGGCTCCTAGAAGTTCTTGAGCTTCTTCTGGGCCAACAAACACCATGAATCGAGGACTCCCCAGAACGCTGCATTCTCAGAAGGGTTTAAGGTTTGGGGTTTAGGGTTTAGGGTCTTTATGGTTTGTAGCCTTGTTTAGGGCTTAACGTCTAGGAGCGCACAGGATTCCGAAGTACCACACCCCCCATGCAGTCATGTTTGGATCAATGATTGAGGGGTTTGGCAGTTTCGGCTTCAGGGGCTACATCAAGCTGTAGGTTTAGGGTTAAGGGTTAAGGGTTTGGGGCAAGGACAGGTTCTGCGGCAAGGTGGCTTATACCCGGACCCTGACAGGCCATAAACCTGCTTCATCTCCCTATCTGACCCTAAGCCTTACCAGCCCCAAACATAAACCCTAAACCCTAAACCCTAAACCCTATACCCTAAACCCTATACCCTAAACCCTGAATCCTAAACCCTCAACCCTAAACCTTATCCCCAAGCCCTAGAACCTCAGCTTCCTCCTCACAACGCCTTTTGCGATTCTGGCCTATTGGGTCGGCTTTTGTGGCCGCGCGCCCGCTTGAAGGGGGAATGGCCAATTCTTCGAGCATACGCGTGCGACCTCACTGGCCTCCATGAGGAGTCTACCCTAAACCCTAAACCCTAAACCCTAAACCCTAAACCCTGAACCCTGAACCCTGACCCCTAAACCCTGAATCCTAGAACGCCTCAGAGAAGAGTTTAGGGCCTCAGGGGTTCGAGGGCTTCCTCTCTGAGAAGCTTGTAGGGCTTCAGGGTTCCAGTGTGTAGGGTTTAGGCGTTACGGTTTAGGGATGTTTAGGGTTTGGGGTTTGGCTGGGGGGGGGGGTCGGGTCAATCAAAAAACTGGGTGCAGGGGTCGTAAAAGGGCTCAGTAGGCGTAATCAAACATGAAGTTCCAGCCTCCCTCTGGTACCCTAAGCCCTAACCCCTCGAAGCCCTAATCCCTAAATCCTGCAAACCCTACACCCTAAACCCTAATCCCTAAATCCCTACAAACCCTAAAACCCCTAAGAACTTTCAGTTCTAAAGCCCCGACAAACCCTCAAAAACCCTCCGATTCCTAAAGCCCGAAAGCCACTAAAGACCCTAAAGGGACTAGGCAGGTGGTCTTGGAGTGTCCGACTTCAACTTGAAGCTTCTGCGAGCCTGGTGGCCCTGAAGCCCCAGGGTTCAGTGTTCAGGGTTTAGGGTTTCTTTGCCAAGCATTGAAACCTGGATTGTCTAGCGCCCTACACGAAAAAAGGGAAAACGCTTGTTGTTGCTTCAAAGGCGGTTTTTGTGAGGACACCTATCCCCTTCAAAGAAAGGAACGGCGGCACCATTGGGGGAATCTGAAAACCTAAACCCTAAACCCTAAACCCTCATGAGATCGCACAGACTTCGAGTCATGAGAGCGGCGTCGGCCGATGGAACGATGCAGCATGCCTTCAAAGCGGCATCATCTGCGAGATGCATCTGAAGTGGTCAGAGGCATCTGTAAGCTCTGCAATCTAAACCCTAAACCCTAAACCCTAAACCCTAAACCCTAAACCCCAAACCCCAAACCCTAAACCCTAAACCCTAAACCCTAAACCCTAAACCCTAAACCCTAAACCCTAAACCCTAACCCTGAGCCCTGAACCCTGAGCCCTATGAGCTCTGCACTCTAAACCCTGAATCCTGACAACATCCGCCGCCAAATGGCATATGGACCCCAATCCGGTTCCAGCCGAATCTCCGAGCCCCAGAAAGCTGGCAGTCTACAACCTCAACCTTATGAGAAGCGAGCAGACCCTTTGTGAGACGCAGCTAGTTCAGAAGAAGCTTCTTCGCCTCACCTGACAGAAAGGTGATATTTTTTGGGCGTTAGCGCTGCGGGTCCAGGCTTTTATAGGGCCCAACACAATTTCTGTAAAGACAGCCACAAAAACATTTTATATGATACATGTTCTTCCTTGTAAGGGCAATATAGACATGATCATCTTCTATTTCTTGGAGTTCTTAAGCGAATGCTAGGTGGTTGCTATCATAAATGGACCAGGCTTTATTCCAGGCATACCCTTCGGTTTGGGGTGTAGAGAGAGGGGCCTTTTGTGTTCAGCGCATGGTGCTTAAGGTCTTGGAGGCTGTTCGTCTGCGCATCCCACCAGCCCTGCCTGCTTCACGGACGAGGCCCTCCATCACTGGGAAGGCTGAGAAGTCGTGTGCTTCGTCCAAAATCTCTGCCTGCAGGGTTGAGGGTTTAGGGTTTAGGGTTGAGGGTTTAGGGTTTAGGGGTTGAGGGTTTCGGGGCTTACGGGCTAAAAGCAACTCAGGCCCAAAGCCTCCAAACCTTCCCCTAGTCCTCTGTAGCATCTCACCCTTCAAGAAAAATGCCCCAAGATAAGGTCCCTCAAAGACAACGCGTATCATGGAACTGGGGGCCTGCTGCAGGGCCACGGAGGCAGCCATCGCAATCTTTGCTGCCTTGGAGACATCACCAGGATTCAGGCACTTACCCGCAACCCTCAACCCGCCACAAAGGCAGTCCCTAAACCCTAAACCCGAAACCCTAAACCCTAAACCCCGTGCTTGGCTTCACGGATCAGGGCTGCAGCTCTCTTTGGTGCCCGGTAGTTAGTACTCTTAGGGGTTTAGGGTTTAGGGTGTCGGGCTCTCGTCTTCCTGGAGCGGCCCTTGCAAGGTCCTACCCCTGAAGCCGTAAAAGCACCTCTAGAGCCCAAGAAGCCTTTAGGGTTTAGGGTTTAGGGTTTAGGGTTTAGGGTTTAGGGTTTAGGGTTTAGGGTTTAGGGTTTAGGGTTTAGGGTTTAGCCCTGCCTGAAATCCTAAAGCCCTAGCGCCCTAACCCTAAAGCCTTAAACCCTCAATACGCCCGTGGGATCCTATGAGGCCCTACTACATCCCATAAAGCCTAAACTACTAGTTACTTAAACTCCCCCCCAAAAATGATGAAAATAACCCTTTATTACTGCGCTTAAGTCTTTAGGTCCGGGCTTTCAGGGCCTTTGGATTTTGTGCTTAGGTGGTTGGGAGGTTAAGGGCTTGAGGGGCTTTAGGACTCTGTAGGGCGTAGGGCGGCTGAGCGGCAATCCACCTCTGCTTACCTCAGATCGGCAGGCTCTCGACACACATGCCGCCAGGAAAACCCTAAACCCAGGAACTCCAAACCCCTAAACCCTACACCCCAAACCCTAAACTTGGGGTAAGGTTATGACCGAGCCCAATCACCTAGACCCTTGACTCGACACCTCAACACTCAGAAAGCCGAGCTGACCCACTTGAAGGTCCATGGGTATAGTTTAGGTCTTAGGGTTTAGGGTTTACGGTTACGGTTTAGGATAAGAGCAGGTTACATGGCTAGAACTACAGCTGACCTACGAGTAATGCTGCATACGGCTAACCATGAACCTTCGCATGAACACCAACACCCTAAACCTGAAGCCGCAGAACCTTAACGCCGTCTGCGAACACTTCAGTGGCTTCAGAACGTGGGTTTAGGGTTTAGGGTTAGGGTTTGTAGGGTTTATAGAGTTTATCGGGTTTATATGCATATAGGGTTTAGGGTTCAGGGTTTAGGGGCAGGCAGCCACCCGAAGTGCGTTGCAAAGTTTCTTGGATGGCGAGGAAGAATTTGCATGTGGCGAACACCCCCCCTGTGATAAGCCCGATAAACCCAGAAGCTCTGAAATGCTCTGAAACCGCCGCTAAACCCCACCAAAGGCCGAAGACAGAGTACGCATGTCGCCAGTTGCGGCTTCCAAGCCTTACTGTTTTGATTTTGGAGAGTTTGCTATGTCAGCTTTCGGCCAGCTCAACTGTGGATCTCCATTGCAGACCACCCCATGCAACAACCAAATCTCCCTCCGAGCGCAGAATTTCAGCTTCAGTGCGGAGGCAAGGCCCCAAGCTACAAAAGGGACGAGGACCTCCGACAAAGAGCCGATGTCCATGTTTTCACGGGACCAACCCCCTATGCAAATGTGGGCGATCGCACAGAATCGCACCGGAAACTCGGCAACTTATTGCTCATGATATGGTCGCGGGCGAATAATAATTCACCTGAAAGCCCAGATTCCTACAGCCTAAAACAAGACAAATTTGTCCCAAAACCTAATGAAAAGAGTGTTCTTAGTCCGTGGCTTCTGGTAGATTCTGTGTGGCCTTGCGGCTTCAGGGGGGGCGGGGGGGGCAGGTCCGACCTTCTGCCCTCTGAACTGACCATGCCCCCGGAGGGGCCGGTGACCTTTTTCCGAGGCAGCCCAAGGACGCAGAGAGGGGTGGATGGGAAGAGTGTGGAAGAGCGTGGGCGCCTGGCTGCTACCGATCTACTACCTGGCTACTACCTGCAAGGACTTTAGGGTACGTCCCCCACGTTTGCCGCGCAAGACACGGGTGACCGGGAAGGCCCCGGGGGGTGAGGGGGTTGGTTGGTGGGGGGTGAGGGGGTGGTGACGACCATGTTGCCCTAACCATGCCCAAACCACTGCTATTTACAGCGTCGTTGTTTTTCTTTATGCAACATGATGCAAAAACATGTTTGACAGTTCTGGAACGAGACGCGCTGTCACAAGCCTTACTTCTGTGAACATGCCCACAACACTGGACGGTTTCGCGTTTTTGCCTTTTATAACACAAACTGCAGAAGAACGTTTGATGTTTTTGCAACCAGACGCAGTGTCACAAGTGTTCATGGCGTTAAACACTGCTGTTTGCAGCGCTTTTGCCTCTTTATACAATTAACATAGAATGCCGCGAACACAAATCATGCGACCGAAAGACTCACAAATGTACCACCGCCGGTTCTATAAGACGATTTTGCCAGCAGCTGTTTCGCGGTACGTTTTGCGTCTGCGTCTTACAACTTGGACTTGCAAGATAGTGCAAGTGTTGCCTCAAGTAAACATGTAAGCCTACCAGCAGACCCTCTGCAGTATCATTGTGTGCCGAATCCTCTGCGCCTGCCAATGAATTTGACCGGTCGTGATGCAATCTACAAACCTTCCCCAAGTTCAAGATTTACTCTTCCAACACAGAGTTGAGCACTCGAATGGTGCGGCAAACGTGGGAGACGTACCCAAAATGTATGTTCATGCTCCTGGGGATTCAGGAGTCAGGATTGTCCTCAAGGGTTATAAGCTTTATAGGGTTTAGGCTCAGGATTTAGGGGAGCAGTTGGTGATGCACCGACGCCCCTGAACGCTCAAGTTCCCATCGAAGCTGCCTTTCATGCCAACGCCCACAGCCCACAGAGACCGCGTCGGCGAAATCGCGACCGTGATGCACTCCTGGCGACACCAGAAGGGGCCCCAAAGCCGAAACCCTAAACCCTAAACCCTTATTGTTCCAAGTATTCAGGCACCGTGACACGTAAGGCTGAGCACCTCAGGTGTTCGCTGTCTTCAAAGGCAAGTCCTGCCACAACTTCGAAGCACGTTTCCGAAGCCGCTAAGCCGCTAAGCCGGAAACTTAACTACCCTAAACCCTAAGCCCTAGACCCTAAGCCCTTCGCCCTAAACCCTAAAACCCTAAATCCTAAACCCTAAGCCCAATACCAGCCTTGAAGCAGAAATCGCAGAGGCCAGAACATTGCCGCAATCTCCTCAGACCCTTAAGGGATTTATCACGGACCGGCATACGGGCCCAGCAGTCCCTTCGATTTGGGGAACCCCAATCCCCAAACCCTAAACTCAAAACCCTAAACCCTAAAACCTAAACCCTAAACCCTGAACCCTAAACCCTGAACCCTAAACCCTAAACCCTTAACCCTACCGGCCTCAGTCTGCGTTCTGCGCTTGATGGCGGCACCAATAATGGGCAGGTTCTTCCACTCCTCGTGCAGTTCTGCTTGCGGACATTGGATGTCAGGCTTCACAGTAGGCTCCACCCTAGAGGCCCAAGATGTAGAACACCAACACACAGAGACACAGAGACACAGAGACACAGAGACACAGAGACACAGAGACACAGAGACACAGAGACACAGAGACACAGAGACACAGAGACACACAGACACAGAGACACACACACACACACAATCTAGCTGCCTTAGACATGAATCCGCAGACCCTAAGAAAACGCTACACATCAACGCCCAACTTTCCAAAACAGACGAGCGCGAGAAGCGAATGGAACACAAGCTCGAACTGTATCGTGGTGGAGCTGGGGTCGGGTTAGGTGGGCCCTTGCATTTCGGGTTCGGTTTGTTTAGGGTTTCGGGCTTTCGGCTGAGGGTTTAGCGTTTAGGATTCGGAAAAGTTCGGAAGGCTTGGCAGGCTTGGGTGGTTGAGGGTCTAGTTGTTGGTCGAAGGTGGAGTGCTACTACCACTACCGTTCCAAGACAGGGAAAGAGGCCGAATCGTCCATAAGGATGAGCTCCTGCGCCTGCAAGGGTTTGCAGCTTGGGGGGGGGGGGGTTTTAGCTGCGTTTCGAAGGGGGCCTGGCGGTCACAGGGTTTAAGAAAAGGCTTGGGGATTTGGAGCTAAGGCTTCGGGATTTGGAGCGGGGTGGGAGGACGGGTGCTCTAAAATGTGGGTCCAAATTTCGGCACGTACAAGGATGCTGCTCTAGAGAACCCAAGAGTGCCCTGAAGGGTCTCAAGCAGTCGTGGAAGCCTCACACTGGCCCTTTTGGCTTTGACAGAAAAGGCCAGGCACGTCGTTTCACTGCAGTTTCCTGTGTCTTGTAAACGAACGCAGCAGCACAGAACTGCTTAAACTCTGAGGATTGATGTCTCAACCGCCCTTAGAACCAATTTAGAATCAAAACTTCCATGACCCCAACCACCGCTTAAAGCAGGGTATACCTTGAACTATGTAGGGATATTCCTGAATAACATGGTATTGAGCTCTCTCTGATTGCACTTACCAGAAAGGGGCTAGGGGGTTCAGGGTTCGGCGTGTATTGTTTTCAACAGAGCTCAGAAGAACCCCAAAGGGGGAATGTGCCACTGGGATTCAACACTACGCCACTTATCATCTTCTTGTAGCACTGCAACCCTTCACCAACCCCTTCCGGGAGGAGTGTGGCCTCGTCGCCTAGGATATTGGACCTGAGCATCAGATGGGTTCACAAAAGCGAGCGCTTGCGAGCTCGGACTCTCCGTCGCGAGGGCATGCGTCTTGGGCTCACAAATATGTGTGTAAGGTATACTGGAGAAGTTAGGGAGGTGTTGAGGCTAAGAGCCAGCGGCACAGGCTGGCTACAAAGGTTCGCGCATCGCTGTATAGGATGCTCGGTCCTTCCTATATCCAAGGGGCAGGCGAGTGGCAAAGAGAGAGAGAGAGAGAGACAGAGAGACGGAATGAACCAAAAGTTGGCATAAGCTGTAGTCGTTCTGCTTCTCCTGCAGGTAGTTATGTTCGTGTCATCGACTCATCTTGGGGGGGGGGAGGGAGCAGAGGAAACTGCTGCAACAGGCTACGTGGAGCATAGCTAGGGATCATGGCCTGATTTAGCTTTAGCCTTGTGCGAAAAGGGCCCGAGGTGCCTTGCAAGTCCACAACAAACTTGCAAAACTAAGGCATTCAACGGCAAATGGCGTGTTCACAACATTCTAAATGCAGCACAGGTTAAAACACAACACGACCCACACCAACTACATCAATCCAGCGGCCAATCACACAACGGTAAACCAGTCAGTCCGACAGAAGGGTGGCAAACAAATCCTTAACCCCTTTATTAACCCGAAGTCTACAGATGCTGCAAAGCCCAAAGTACCCGAAACACTAAATGTGCCCAATTTGTCTTAGTTTTTAAAGGTTCGGCTGGCGAGTGTGAGGACATCAACATTCAACAAGCTCTCTTTCGCTGAAGTTGGAAAGCGGAACATGTACAAACAAACAAAAAAGCCAGTTGCCTAAACACTGGCCCCTTTGCGCATTCTAACCCGGAAGCTTTTGAAGGGACCACAACCAGAGAACAAGCCATGTTGGAGACAAAGATCTTGTAAAGCAGATTCTAGTTCATGGCAGGTCAAGAAGTACGGACAGCACCTTTCTACCCCCCGATATAATCCTGTTCATGGGGTACCTAGTTCCCTAGCTCCCTACTATCAAACTAACACCACACCCTGAACCCAAAATCCCACTTCTGCGGCCCCACCAAGGCTCACACAGGATCTGGTCTGCTTGGTTGGAAAAGGAGCTAGACCTGGGGGTTTCCGAAACTAGGGGTCCAACCCTACACCCCAAACCCCAAACCCTAAACCCCAAGCCCTAAACCCTAAACCCCAAACCCTAAACCCTAAACCCCAAACCCTAAACCCTGTACCTTATTGGGGTCCTTCTTCTCAGGGAATCCTACTATCTGGGGGGTCTAGCTTGGGGGTGCGTACCTTATTTTCGTAAACACCCACCTTGCGGTTTAATCGCTTCCCCCTTTTACTAAAGACCACCCTAATAATAAAACACTGAAAAACCCCCAAATCCAAAAAACCCATGTAAAACCCATTTTGAACTAGGGGGGGGGGGGTCAGGCCGCCAATAAACCCCTCAACACCAACAAAACCCTCAGAGGGTTTAGGGTTTGGGGTCTAGGGTTAAGGGTTTAGAGTCCAGTCCTTTAGCAGCACGATGCTGTCTGTGAGCTGCCTGTGTGTGCGTGTGTGTGTGTGTGTGTCTCAGTGGCTCTGTCTGAGCCTTGCTGTGCTGCGAGAGTTGAGCTCTCCCCCTCTCTCTGTCTCTCTGTCTCTCTCGCTCTCTCTCTCTCTCTCTCTCTCTTTCTCTTTGTCTCTTTCAGTTTTGCACCACACTTAAGTAATTGATTACTTGAGCAACCCTGAAGTCTAATTAATTATGACATTTCGATAAAAACCTCCCCCTAATAATACAAACGCATTTCGAGTTTTTAATGGGGGGGCCGTTTAATCTTAGGAGAAGGGATTAGGGTTTTACGATTTAAGGGGCCAAATAGGTACCCCCTCTAGGCTATCAGTAAATTCATGAAAACAACCACCAAGCACCCGGTTTTTACCCACCTGGACCCTAGTAGAATACTCGGTCCATTACTGTGTAACCCTCCCCCGAATATCAACCCCCCCCCCCCCCCCCCCATGCTCGAATAACACCACAATGGGAGGGAGTGAATATTAGCGGGCAGGGGGGGGGGGGTTAATATTATTAGGGGGAGAGGGTCAGGGTTTAGGGTTCCCCCAACCCCGGCCTTCGCGCGTTGGAGGTACTGTTCGGAAGCCACAGCGCCAAGCCCTCCGTCGTTTTGGGAGGGCTTCTTCCGGGAAGCTGAAGGGTTTGGGGTTTGGGGTTTGGGGTTTAGGGTTTAGGGTTTAGGGTTTAGGGTTTAGGGTTCAGGGTTCAGGGTTCAGGGTTCAGGGCGCAGGGTTTAGGGTTATAAGGACTGTGAATAATGCTGCCTTTTGGGCTGATAGGGTCGGATAGATATCTTCGGGGAACTCGGAGTTTTTTTGACCAACCTACACCCACAAGATGTTTAAACTACCCCAGTAACCCTAAACGCTAAGCCCTAAACCCAAAACCCTAAACCCTAAACTTTAAACCCTAAACCCTAAACCCTAAACCCTAAACCCTAAACCCTAAACCCTAAACCCTAGGGTTGAGGGTTCTTAACACAACCGCCCAAGAGCCCCAAATCCAGGGCCTCCATCGGAAGGCCCTCCAGCTTCTCCGGCATGTCCTGCATTCAGGGCTTAGGGCTTAGGGCTTAGGGCTTAGGGCTTAGGGCTTAGGGCTTAGGGCTTAGGGCTTAGGGCTTAGGGCTTAGGGCTTAGGCTTAGGGGGCTTCTGTGGTATCACACATATCCCTCGCCTCCCAACGGGCCTGTTTGCTTTTCTTGCAAGACATCGGGGACGACTTCGTGGGTTCGTTTACTACTTGGCCTAAACCCTAAACCCTAAACCCTAAACCCTAAACCCTAAACCCTAAAGCCTAAAGCCTAAAGCCTAAAGCCTAAAGCCTAAAGCCTAAAGCCTAAAGCCTAAAGCCTAAAGCCTAAAGCCTAAACCCTAAACCCTAAACCCTACCCTAAACCCTAAACCTTCAACCGCAAGGGGAATTTGGGAATCAACTTGGTCTAGGGAAGCAAGTCGAGGTTGCGCGGGCCCGGGTTTATTCGGCCGTTGAAGAGAAGACTAAGGGAAGACAAGGTGAAGGGTTTAGGGTTTAGGGCTTAGGGTTTAGGGTCAGGGGCTTCAAAGAGCTTGTGGGCGTGGGGGTTGGGAGCATTCGGATATTTGGGACTTTTGGAGTTTCAGGGTCTCAGAAATCTAGCCCCCCTCCTCCGCCCCTAGCCCAGGTTCAGGGTCTTCGAATCTGGGGGAGTGCGGCAATTTCCCCCGGCTATGTTTGAAAGGTTGCAGGGTTCAGGATTGGCTCCACCCCAGGCCGGAGGTCTTGCCCTAAGTATATACCCAGGGCTGCTGTGGCTTCATGGTTGATGGGTTCGGGCTTAGGGTTTAGGTTTAGGGTTTAGGGTTTAGGGTCTAGGGCTTGGGGCTTGGGGCTTTTGGGTCTTGGGGCTTGGGGTTTGGGGTTTGGGGTTTGGGGTTTGGGGCGCCAGGGCCCTCGGGTGGTGAGGGTTGGAGGGAGAACGGGCATCCTCAAGAGGGTCCAGCTCCGCCCAGAGGAGCTTCTCAAATTTCACACACTGGCTGGCCACCTGTGCCAGGTTGAGGGAGGTTCAAGGTTCTTCTGCCTGCCTGTGCTTGGGGTTTATGGGTAAAGGGTTTAGGGTTTAGGCCTAGGGTTTAGGGTTTCTGGTTGGATGTTTCCTCTTATACGAGTGGTCCTTGACAGGGATTATAATCGGGGGTCCTGTAATCCCCATTAAGGACTGGTAGTACAAGGCAAAAACATCCCAAGTTCAGCTGTTCATCTAGACAGTCTAGACCCAAGAGTAATGTCGGAAGAAAATGGGCGCCCCATGTTGGTTGAAAGGGGCTTCGAAGGGAACCTAAACCCGAACAAAAGGACCACAGCCCTACTCTAGATCCTGGGTTGAGTTGAGGATTTAATGTTCTGGGGCTCGCAAAGTAGGGCAGCAGCATGCAATCCTTGAGGCCATGGGTTTGTCCATTTGGGTTGAGGATTTAATGTTCTGGGGCTCGCAAAGTAGGGCAGCAGCATGCAATCCTTGAGGCCATGGGTTTGTCCATTTGGGATGAAAACAAAAAAGTAGATGGTCCCTGGCCTGGAGCCTTCTTAGCGTAGACCCCAAAATCTGGGGACACGAAAGAGCACTCCCATCGTCCGCCCCCCTACTCTGCACGCTGGAACCCCAGACAGTGTTGACACATTGTTTGGGGAACTGTGTACCCTATACCTTTATTTATGGGCTCCTATATTCTCCCAAACAGGCCAGGGGCCGTGGGCCATACTTTCAACCTTAGATTCTCACAAAGCCTCCTTCAGAAGTCGCGTCAAGCCTTGAAGAACATGTTGCACTCACCTACCGAGAAGATCCCCCAATCAATATCTCGCCCCCGCGCGCCAGAGCACGATGTAGCTCTCAGTATTCTCTTCAGCTTGCTTTGCATGTCTCCGGAGCCAGCTTGAATAGAGCTTCTATTTTCATTCACATGCCGCTACCAGTCTACCGTCTCTGACGGTGTGTGTAATATTTGTAAAGGGTGCTCCCTAAACCCTACACCCTAAACCCCAAGACCTAAAGACCCCAAAAACCCTAAAACTCCTAAAAACCCTCAAAACCCTCAAAACCCTCAAAGCCCTCAAAGCCCTCAAAACCCCACAAACACTAAAAAACCCTAAAACCCGAGCAAAAACAGAAAAACAACCCCAAAAACAACCCAAAAAGAGACCAACAAGAGCCGGAAAGCCCAAAAACAACAACACAGATGATTTTACTTCGAACATCCCCACCTTAGCACTCCGGGGTCTCTGGGGTTGGGCACTCCAGGGTTGGGCATTTCAGGAGTCTCTGGGGTTGGGCACTCCAGGGAGTCTCTAGGAGTAGACCAGGCGAGGAGAAGAGTTCCGGGCGAGGAGAAGAGTTGAGTGTAAAATCTAACAACCACACACAGAAAGTGGCGGAAAAAACAAAAAAACCCAAACACCCTAAGACCCCAATAACCCTTAACCCGACACCTTTGTCAACTGCTAACCACACTAGGGCTTAAGATGCAGCTGAAAGTGATAGTCTTAAATTGTCTTGATGATGTGGGTGGGTACTTCTCCATCACACGATGAAAAAGGCTCGACTTGTGAAAGCTGGTGCATGAGCTGCTGAATTTCTAAACCCTAAAACCTAAACCCTAAACCCTAAACCCTAAACCCTAAACCCCAAAATCTAAACCCTAAACCCTTAACCCTAAACCCTAAACCCTGAACCCGAAACCCTTCTAAACTGTTAACAACACCACCCGAATGCCAACCTCCTCGGGCTCCTGCTTGATGCTCAGGAGCTCCTCCCAACAGGTGTAGGGTTTCGGGTTTAGAGTTTTGGGTTTAGGGTTTAGGATTCAGGATCTAGGATTTCGGGTTCAGGGGTTAATTGGCATGGCTCCCGTGTAGCCTATCATTTCAATTTTGCATATGGGCCTTCGAACCAACCCTCTTGAACAACATATTCCTAAAATGTGATCCCCTTGAACCCAGTAGCCTACCTACCGGTAGGATTTTCAAACCTAACCCTAAACCCTAAACCCCTAAACCCTAAACCCTAAACCCTAAACCCCTAAACCCTAAACCCCTAAACGCTGTCTAAATCGAGTCGTCGAAGCAAAGTTCGGGCTGGCTTTTATTTCGGCTGAAGCTTAGGGTGAGGGTACCACCTAAACCGTGTTATCTAAACCCTAAACCCTATAAACCCTAAACCCTACGTATACCCTAAACCCTAAACCCTAAACCCTAAACCCTAAACCCTAAAACCCTAAAACCCTAAACCCTAAACCCTAAAACCCTAAAACCCTAAAACCCTAAACCCTAAACCCTAAACCCTAAACCCTACGAAGGACTAGTATAAGGGGAAACAGTCCCCAATATAAGGCGACCAAGCAGGACCGTGACCCGTGCTACGGGGCATCACCCTGCGCTCTCTTCCACACGACGGCGCAACGCACAATGTCCTTCAATGCATCGCGCCCCTGCGTGCACCATCTCCTTGAGCACAATATCCCTAAACCCTATAAACCCTAAACCCTAAACCCTAACCCCTAAACCCTAAGCCCTTCAGTTCCGGAGGGTGATTCTGGAAACGGCTACACCCACGAGGTGTAGCTCGTAGAGGACCTCGTCCCGGAAGTGGCCTCTGTTGACTCACTCATTGGCCTCTGTCTCCTCTCTAGCTGGCGGCCTGGGTGGGGCTTGGCCCTAAACCCTAAACCCTAAGCCCTAAACCCTAAACCCTAAACCCTAAGCCCTAAACCCTAAGCCCTAAACCCTAAACCCGAAACCCCAAACTGCCCAGGAAGAAGGCGACATGGACCCCGGAGCACTCGGCCAGAACAGCAGCAGTGCTCATTGGGAGAGCTGGCCTTGCTTGGGTGGCTCAGGCGTCATGCCAGAAGTTCGACAACAGTCTTGGTTTCCATCTGCCAACCCTAAACCCTAAACCCTAAACCCTAAACCCTAAACCCTAAACCCTAAACCCTAAACACTAAACCCTAAACCCTAAACCCTAAACCCTAAACCCTAAACCCTAAACCCAAACCCTAAACCCTAAACCCTAAACCCTAAACCCTAAACCCTAAACCCCCCCTCATGAACAAATTGTCTGGGGCACCGGATTGGTCGAGCCCCGCTTTGCCTCCTGCCTGACCCTGCGGCTGGTAGTGGCGGCGTGTCTTTAACATCTGGTAGCAAAAGGGGGTTTAGGGTTTAGGGTTTAGGGTTTAGGGCTTAGGGCTTAGGGCTTAGGGCTTTGGGTTCTACACAGCTAGAAACTTGTTGTCAGCCTCTGGCAAGTAGAAACAATACTGCATACAACTATCTCAAGTGTTTCGAACACAGCCAGGATTCCAAGTAGAAGAGCTCAGGGTGTGTCGCTTAAAAAAAAACCCTAAACCCTAAACCCTAAACCCTAAACCCTAAACCCTAAACCCTAAACCCTAATGGGTTTCAGGGGCGAAGTCACGGCACATCGTGGCTGTGATGCAAGGCCATTGAAAAAAGACGACGGATCGCAGCCCAAGATGACCCTTTTTGGGGTACCTTTGAGGGGATTCTACTGGGGGTTTAGGGGTTTTAGGGTTTAGGGTTTAGGGTACTATTTTGGGAAATGCCCACATGGCAAATGTAGAGCTTCGCCACCTGTCTCTATCAGGGCCGCGGCGGAGCAACCAAAACTCGATGTGTCTCACCTCTCTCGTCCTCCCTTCACTCACACGTGGCGCGTGCCCGTGGCAGAAACAATCACATTCAGATGAAGTGTAATTAAGCTGAGCACAAGCCCCCGAAACCCCTAAACCCCGGAAACCCCAAACTCCTAAACCCTAAAACCCCAAACCCCAATGGCCGGGTGCCAGGGCATCAGTACGACCAGGACATGAACAAAAACCCATGCACGCGCCCTTGTAAAGCAAAGCACCTCTCTCACCTCTAGAGGCCCATAGACCCTACACCCTGAATGCCATGAACCCTGAATACCCCATAGACTACAAAGCCGGTAAAAAAAAAAAAAAAAACACAAGATCCCCCTCCCCCCCCAAAAAAAAAAATCGGCGCCTGGCCATTCTTGCCGGGCGAGGGGCCCGAATTCCGGGGCATCGTCTCACGACTGCCCTGGCAAGCCGAAGGTCGGGTTCTCAGCGTTTTTTGGTAGGGGTTTGAGGTTTAAGGTTTTGGGGCTTGGGTTTAGGATGATTTTTGATGGTTCAGGGTTCAGGATTGTTCTTTAAGGCGACGCCCTTTGTGCAGCGTCACTCTTTGCGGCACCTACTTCTACCCGAAACTGCCTGAGGTTGCTCTTCAGCTGTGGTTGAGGGCCTAGTTGAGGGTTTAGGGTTTACGGTGTGCGGAAACCCTAATCCTAACCTAGCCAAGAAAGCACCTAAAACCCAACACCTCCCCCTCCAAGCCTCCAATCCTAGCACTAAAGCCCCAAACCCCAACTCCCTCTGAGGCCACCCCCCCAAACCCCCCAACCCCAAAATGCTTCAACCCAAAAGCCCCCCATTTCATAATTCACAAAACCACCAAAACCCCAAAAACCTTAAGCCCACAGCCCCAAGCCCAAGCCCTCCAAAAATTCTCAAAAGAACAAAACCAACACCCGGTCGCCCAAAAACTCAGCCTCCCCGGGCTTCCGCAACTCCTCCTTGCCATGGGCGTAGTAGCAGCTCTCACCTCCTAGGTTACAGGGGAAGGGGGGGGGGGTTGGGGGGGGGGGAGTTGGGCGGGTTGGAGGGTTTCGAGTTTAGGGTTTCGGGTTTAGGGTTTAGGGTTTGGGGCATTGAAGGTTTCAAGAAGGGGGCCTTGTTCCGCGAAGCGTCATACGTCCATGTCTCGGAGTCTAGACTGCTCCTGCTTCCAGCTGAAATGGCCACACGCGTCCGGTGTTAACGCATGTAAGTGGAGACCTGTGCCCCACTTTTTGACGGAGAACCGTGCAAATGTGGCGCTGCAGCTAATTCAAGCCCTGTACAGGCCTGTAGAGGATCGTGCAACTTGCTTTGCAGACCAGCTTCAGCTGACCCCGAGTATTTATTCCGTCGTCTGAGGTCACCCGAGTACAGTATGTTCCACTCATAACTACGAGTCATTTACCAAGAACGGGGTATGTCTTTGCAAAGGCACTTGCACTTCACTGCACTTTGGTTGCACTGTGCTCTGTGCGTCACACAGGTGTCACCTGTTCATGACGGTCTCATTCCCAAACGGCACGAATACTCCAAGCTCAACTGGCTGTGGACTCCCTGGCCCTTCGGTCCTGTGCAGATGCCTCTCCTGATGAAGGTCCTCCTCCCATCGTCTGGACAAACTCGCTGTGGCGATTCACCAGGCGCCGGAGGCGCGGGGGTTCCAGTCCAAGGGCTGTCAGGCTTTGTGCCTTCTGGCGGAGAACCTCCGGGTCCTGCGTCAAGAGGAGGCGGGGAGCCAGGGCCTGCTGAAGGGAGCGTGCAGCATCCTCGTGGTACACCGCGCCCATGGCCTTCGATGTGCGCTATAGGGCTGAGTGGTTGTTGACCTCGAGCCGTCGTGCGCTGACAGGCTTTGCATGATGAATCGTGGGTGTCGAGATTTCTGATACCTCTCGCACCCCCTACAAGCCCTGAACCCTCAACCCTGATGGCCTCAACGTGCAAAACAAATCCCAAGCTTCGTCAGAGTGGGTGGCAAAGGGCAGGACTGAACCCCAAAGCCGCGCACTCAAGGTCATGTTCCTAGACCCAAACCTACACTCAACTGTACGGTTTGGAGTCTGGGTTTTGGGGTTTGGGGTTTGGAGTTTAGGGTTTAGGGTTTGGGTTTAGGGTTTGGGGCTAAACCCTCAACCCGCATGAACCTCCCCAAACTGCCACCAAGTGGCTTGGACAGGCGAGGTTCTGCACGAACTCTCCTGGGCGCCGTTCCGGTCGTCGGCTTAGGAATCTAGGATTTGGGGATTTAGGGTTTTAGGGATTAGAGTTTTAGGGTTTTAGGGTTTTAGGGTTTTAGGGTGTTAGGGTTTTAGGGTTTAGGGTTTAGGGTTTCGGGTTTCGGGTTTCGGGTTTCGGGTTTCGGGTTTAGGGTTTAGGGTTTAGGGTTTAGGGTTTAGGGTTTAGGGTTTAGGGTTTAGGGTTTAGGGTTTAGGGTTTAGGGTTTAGGGTTTAGGGTTTAGGGTTTAGGGTTTCGTTTAGGGTTTAGGGTTTAGGGTTTAGGGTTTAGGGTTTAGGGTTTAGGGTTTAGGGTTTAGGGTTTAGGGTTTAGGGCTTGGGATTTAGGGTTTGGGATTTAGGGGTTCGGGTTGAGGGTTTTTAGGACTGTGGGTGTCGAAGCTTGAGGACTCATCCAAGGATCCTTGGCGGCCGCGGCGCGTCCTACCACCCAGGGAGAAGGGGGCTAAGGGCTTATGTTAGGGGTTGAGCCTTTGCCCAACATGCCAAACCGTAAACCCTATAAACCCTAAACCTTAAACCTTAAACCCTAAACCCTAAACCCTAAACCCCGAACCCACACGCTCACGCACAGACACCACAACAGCCAACCAAGCCACGACAAAGGATGGTCTTGTAGTGCCAGTCACTCCAAGCCTCTGGGCCGCTTTTGCTTTGATGTTGGTCCTAGAACTGTGGTGATCTATGTATGTGTTATTATATTATACTCTACAGGCTATATAAGTAGAAATATCTACACTCTACACGCAAGTACGCACGTGTGAATGTAAAATATATCTATATATATATACAGATATACATATTATACTATACAGGCTATATAAGTATAAATATCTACGCTCTACACGTAAGTACACACGTGTGCATGTAAATATAAATATAGATAAATAAATATATATATATATGTGCAACACAAATATAGAGAGCTGTAGCAATACATAGACAAATAAATAGTTATATATATATATATATGAACCCCCCCCCCCCCCCCCCCCCCAAGATCAACCCTTGAGGCTTCGGATACCCCTGACACTCATTCATGACAATCTTGTATCTCTTTAAAGGTGCAGGCAACACTGAAAAACACACCGATGGCTCTCATATTCCTGCAAATTTCTCACACAACAGATAACCGTGTAATGAAGGCGCGCGTATATGCCGACCTGGCAGATCAGGCTCCCACTGGGGCGATAGGGTGGTCCTTGACCTTGGGCCCTTAGAAATGCCAAGCCGGTGCCTCCTTCTGGGGGCAGCGGAACCAAAAAAAAAGTCCCTACGACTTGTGCACGAAGGCACCAGCACTCAACCGCACCCTTGCTTTGAGTCTTTCCAAATAAAAAAAAGGCAGTCCTCCCATCCTGTAATCACCTGTAGGGCACCAGAATTGGGCTCAGAGGGTTCAGGGTTTAGGAAGGCCCCGTTTTCTGGTAGGATCCCCACAGACCGTAACTGTCATGCTCCGCCCTTTTACTCCCAGAGTCTTCAGACAATCGCCTTCTCAAGAAAAGGCCCACAGGCCTTAACCCCGAACCCAAAAACCCCAAACGCCCTAAACTTGGGGGTGGGCTCTACCATCATTTACTATGGGATTTGCGCTACCCACCGTGGGCCCTCCGTTACAGCTCCGTTACAGCAACTGCTACAGTTCCGTTACAGCTCCGTTGCACCTCCGTTACAGCTTCCACTAGAGCTCCGTTACAACTCTGTTGCACCTCCGTTACAGCTTCCGTTACAGTTCCGTTACAGCTTCCGTTACAGTTCCGTCGCAGCTCCGTTACAGCTCCGATGCACCTCCGTTACAGCTCCGTTACAGCTCCCTTGCACCTCCGTTACAGCTCCGTTACAGCTTCCGTTACAGCTCCATTACAGCTCCGTTGCACCTCCGTTACAGCTCCGTGACAGCTTCCGTTACAGTTTCCGTGACAGCTCCGCTACAGCTCCATTACAGCTCCGATGCACCTCCGCTGCAGCTCCGTTACAGCTTCCGTTACAGCTCAGTTATACAGCTCCGTTACAGCTCCGTTACATCTCCGTTGCAGCTCCGCCACAGCTCCCGTTACAGCTCAGTTGTACAGCTCCGTTACAGTTCCGTTACAGCTCCGTTATCAAGTTGCTGCTTCTGCTACGGCTCCGTTACAGCTTCCGTTACAGCATCGCTGCAGCCGGTAGCCCTCCGTTGCAGCCTTCCGATACGACTCCGTTACAGCTCCGCGACAAGTCCGTTACAGCTCCGCTCCTTTCCGTTACAGTTTCCGTTACAAGCCCCGTTACAAGCCCCGTTACCGGCGAGCATTTCTGTCATAGTAGAGGCCTGCAAATGATGGTAGAGCCCCGCCCCAACCCTAAACCCTAAACCCTAAACCCTAAACCCTAAACCCCAAACCCTAAACCCTAAACCCTAAACCCTAAACGAACTAAACCCTAAACTCTTAACCCTAAACCCCTGCTCTCAAAAGGCAACCTGAACCTCCAAACCTGCAAGCCCTGATTTAGGGGTCGGAAAAATCACGAATATTATTCCCTTTTGGTCCCTTTATGATTATACTATAATTATACTATGATTGTACTATACTTACACTATAATTATACCATAATTCCCCCCCCCCAAAACCCTGTGCCAATGACTAAGGCCCTATACTACACCTCCCACAGGCAGCCTTGCCGGCCGCTGCACCCAAGGGCATCTTCGGCGGGAGCACGGACTGATACGGGTCAGGGCGCGGGGGCCCGAAATCCATAAGCCCCAACCCCTAGAAACCCGCAAGGGTCTAGGGTTTAGGGTTTGCATGGGGTTTAGGGTTTAGGGTTTAGGGTTTAGGGTTTAGGGTTTAGGGTTTAAGGTTTAAGGTTTAAGGTTTAGGGTTTAGGGTTTAGGTTTAGGGTAGGCCACTTCAGCGCCTAAACCCTGAACCCTTATGTTTAGCCAGAATTCAGGATTGTTGGCCTAATTTCTGCAAGGCTCCCCCTCCCCCCGCACCCCTACGCCGTCAAACCCTAAACCCTCAACTACAAACCCCTAATTAAGCCGTACCCCTTGAACCCTCAACCCTGAACCCAACCCCCCCCCCCCCCCCCCCCCCCCCCCTCAAAAAAAAAGGTTGCTTGACCATGGTTGACCGGGACAGGGTCGACGGCTTGCGTTTTAGGATCTTTGCGTTTAGGGTCCTTTGGAGCTTAGCTCAACTGCCCCTCGTCCCGACACGCAATGCCGCAATGCCTACTCGGCCTCTAAAGCCCATAAATCCTGAACCCGAACACTTTGAGGCCTAAACCAAGCCTAGACTATACTGAACTTGGAACCCTAGCAAAATGATAATTTTAGCTGTTTCTTAGGAAGTATAGTAGCCGAAAATTGAAAATTATTTTCAAGTACCCCTAAGTAACGCCTAAAGCCGAAAGCCTAAACCCTAAACCCATTAGCTCCGCCTCTGCCGAGTTGAGAGCTGCGCGGCGTCGCCGCTTGGACCTTCGCTCAGTGCCCATCCTGAGAAGAAGGAAAAAGGTTAGGGTTGTGCGCAGGGTTTGGGGTTTAGGGTTTCGGGTTTAGGGTTTAGAGCTTAGGGTTTGGGGTTCAGGGTTTAGGGTGTAGGTTTAGGCATCAAGTGTCTCCTAGGCTCGAGGTAAGCTGCTTCAATGGCTCTCCGGGCTTAGGGCTTAAGGGGTTTTATGAGTTCTACTTATAGACTTGGTAGCCCAGTAACCAAAGTATAATCAGGGTACCTTTTTGGGGGTTGGTTAGTTTGTAAAGGAGCCTAGAACCAGAAATTGGCAAAAGGATACCACTGGGCTCCCAAGTAGGGCATTCTGCCAGAATTGAGTGGACAGCGATTTTTGCTTTTTTTCATGCTGGCCCCCCGCTTTTCTTATGCTGTGGGTGAAGCAAGCGGATATGCTAAACCCTAAGCCCTAAACCTTAAACCCTAAACCCTAAACCCTAAACTCTAAACCCTAAACCCTAAACCCTAAACCCTAAACCCTAAACCTAAACCCTAAACCCTAAACCCTAAATAAACCCTTCATCCTAAACCCCAATAACAAGACATGGCTTGGTTGTGTTGGCTGTGACTGGGCTGATGCCGGATTTGGGGGCTTGGGGGCTTGGGGGCTTGGGGGCTTGGGGGCTCTTTTTTTATGGTGGGGGCTAGGGGGTGCAGTGGCCCCCAAGCCCGAACCCTGAACCAAACCCCAAGAATCCCGAAACCCAAAAGGCGCGACACCCCAGATCAAGAGCTCCAATCTTCGCCACCGAGGACGCGGCAGTTCTATGGCGTCGGCGGGGGGCGTTAGTGTGTCCTAGGGGAGTTTCTGACCAGTGCAGTTTGGGGTGTTTAGGGTTTTTAGGGAATTTGTTTTGTGGTTTTAAGGGTTTTTAGGGTTTTTAGGGCTTCGGTTTCAAGGCCGAGGGTTCAGGGGTTCCTGCTGAGGCCACTCTCTGCGAGGCTGCGCCCCAGCCCTCGCAGGATGACGTCGGCCGTAGCCCTCTTAAGTAGAGTTCCTTCTTTGGGTCCCCTGTATATATATATATATATGTATACGTATGTATGTATATATATATATATATCTCTCTCTCTCAATGTATATGTAGATATACATACATAAGCACGGCACCCGTAAGCTAAGGACCCCGAAAGGGACCCTAACAAAATCGAGCTACGCCTCTTGCTAGCCATGAACCCTAAACCGTCCATCCTGAACCCTAAGTCCTGGAATCCCTCAACCCTCAACCCTCAACCCTCAACCCTCAACCCTCAACCCTAAACCCTAAACCCTAAACCCTAAACCCTAAACCCTAAACCCTAAACCCTCAACCATGAAGAAAGGAACTCGGCAGTCTCAAGGCACGCCCCGAACCTACTTAAAGGTTCATGCTTCGAGTTTACTAGGGACTCGGCTTACCTACAGTTTAGTAGTCGTTACCCCAGAAGTAGTAGGCATAGCCCATCCAACGGTAGGTACATAAGAGTCCCAGGCAGGGTTCGGAGTTCGGCAGGGTTTCGCTGTTGGTAAAACGTAGCAGAGATACATACAGCCCTACTTGTAGCCACCCAAGAGCCTTCAATTCAAGTAAACTTGAACGTAAACCCTAAACCCCAAACCCTGAACCGGTCCCCGGTGTAGATGCCAGAAGCCTGCAAGCAAGGTTCTGACAAGGGCTGCTTCTTGCGGAGACTGTGGCGGCTCGATGTGTTCTGTTGGTTAAGTTTAGGGGGGTTGAGGGTTTGGGGTTTAGGGGCTTACGAGCTTAGGGGTGGCAATCTTGACCTCAAAAGACCCTAACTGTCCCAGAAGGCCACGAGGAAGCTACAGTGTTCAATGTAGGTATCCTTTTGGAACTCGCTTACTTGTCTAGAACCTCCCCCTGCTGATAGAGTATGCACGCCAAAGGCTTGAACAGAACACGCCAGCGCTTGAGCCAGGGCCCTGAAGAGCCCCCCAGGTACCCAAAACCTCCTCAAACCCCAAGAATCCCAAGCCCAAACACCCAGCGCTGCAAACCACAACTCTCACATCGGGCCGGTGGCTCTGCTAGTTCGCTGCCCTCACACCACAAACCGCCATCCTACGAGAACAATCTGTACAAGACCTCAATGAACTCGTCCAGCATCTAGCCATGCTTCTGCTGGCTGCGTTGCGCCCTGCAATGCCTGGCTGCCTGACCTGGGCTACTTCTCAAGCTCAAAGCTACCCTAAATTGATAGGTGCTGCTGTATTCCCGCCGTGCCTCCAGAAGCTCACGGAATCCCGGATGGTTTGTGATGCTGTCCTGCAGACGTCTCTCTGCTACATGGGCGTGCGCGGGGCATGGGGGTTCGGGTGCAGGTCAGTACAGTTCTTAGGAGGCAGGGTTTCGGGCTGGGGTGGAGGGACCCCAAGGTTCCAGTTCGACCAGAGTGACAACTTGGAGCCCCCCGTAGTTGTCTTGCTCTGATTTTTTTTCATTGCCACTGTTTAGAGCCAGGTAAAACCAAGCACGATTTTCGAAGCACGGCCTAGAAGACCATATAATCATCCAAGTAAAGATGTGTATATGTATTTATATATATATACATATACATATACACATATATATATATATATACATGTGGATATATTTGTTTGTTTGTCTATATTACTTATTTATAGTTTGTTTATTTTATATTTCGTTTTATACTTATATTTATAGGAATATATATATATATATATATAATCTATTTTATTCATCTTTATATTTATAGTGTGAGCAGGTCAAAGCATGCATGGAGTGCTTGCTTAGTGCTAGTGCAGCTTGTTGTTTTCCTTGCATGTGTAGTTTTGCAATTCGTAACAATGCCAATATTTTGGCTCATGTACCGAGCTTGTGCCTTTGAGCACGGTAGTTTCGTACAGTAGCTCTTAGGTTGCTGTGCGGTCCGACCGGACGCACTCAGGCGTAGCTGCACAAGTGCTTGAACTCGCGAAGTCGTAAAACAGCGTGACCGGGCTGTGATTGCATTGGCTTAGTGCAAGTCCAGTGCTGGTCGACTTCACAATTGGGGGCTGTTCTGGGAAACGTACAGCTCTTGTGCCTACGGCCCGAGTGGGCAAGCATTGCTTTGCTTGTCTGTCGCGGTCCGTGACCTGGACGCGTGGACTGTGTGCCACGCTTGCGGCCTGTTAACCAAGGCGCGGCGCTTCGTGTGCCACGCCTGCGGCCTGCTAACCAAGGCGCGGCGATGTCCGCAGAGGTTGCAGGTCAGGCCGAGGGCGTCACCCTCCTCGAAGCGATCGAGGGTGGAGACGTTCCCTATGGCTTAAGTGGCGTAGGGAGACTGGCAGCCGTCCGTTGTCCAAGCGGGATGGGATCAGTACTACGCCAGAGCAAGAGGCGGCTCTCTGGCGGAAAGTCATGAAGTTCCTCCATGACGCAGAAGACGAGGACGAGGATGAGGAGGAAGAAGAAGAGGACTCCGAGCTAGTCCCTGAGGCCTCGGGCGCTGGAGGCGACAGTCCGCCGCGGGCGGACGTCAGCGCCGCGGCTAGGGAGCTGGCCATGGTCCCTACCGGTGCTGCCTATGTCCCTGCTACGGCACCAGGGTCCCGCCCGGCGGGACCGTCCGGTCCGCCGTCGACAGCAGGTTCGGTGCCAGGCACCGCAGAGGGCTTGCAGGCGGAGCTGCGCGCGATTTTCCGTCCAGACCAAGAACCGGTCGCGGACTACTTGACGCGCGTTTCGCGGATTGTCCTCGCGCTGAAAGCGCATGGAGTCACGGTGAGCTCCCGTGACCTTGACGCCTTAAGCACCAAAGCCACCCTCCTTGCGGATGAGTTCTCCAAGATAGGCGGGGACTGGCATCCGACAAAGATGGTCCGTCGGCTGCGGACCAGATTCTCGGTCGCGGCTTTGCGCGGTGGCGAGGACCCCGAAGACGCAGAGGAGATTCAGCGTGAAATCCAATGCATCGGGGAGCTTATCCTCGCGCTAGGGGGAAAGGAAAGCTCGAGCCAAGAGAAGGTTTGGAGCTCCCCGTCCGATGTGCCAGTTGAAGCCGTGGGGCCGCGTTCCCCAGGGCTCCCACAGCCTGCGACTGCAAGTGGGTTGGGGGTAGGTTTGGACCGTGAAGGTTTGCACACTGCCGAGGTCGCAGGTGGTCCTTCCGCGGCCCGTGACCTGGGCGCGACGGACGGCGATTCCCCTTTGCGCGCGAAGCTTGCGGCGCTGGAGATGGAGATAGAAGCCCTGAAGCGAGGTTCAGACGGCGGAGGTTCGCAGACCGGGTCCCAAAACCCGGCGGGCGATTTCGCCGCCGCACTCGCCGCCCAAACTGAAGCGCTGAAAGAAGCGTTGGCGCAGAGGGGCGGGCAAAGCTCCATAACGACGGTCAAAACTGACCTCACGTGGCCGACGCTGACCGACGACAAGTCGGACGCGCGAGACGTTGTCCTGTTCTACGAGGAGTTCGAGGACGTCTGCGCGCTCGCCAACAACTGTCGCGGTATGAGTGCGCGCGAGAAGCTGCTAGCGCTACGCGGGCGCTGCCGCGGCTCGCGCATGAAGACGTACACGAACGCCTACCGCGCAGCGTGGAAGTCGGGAGAGGTTCTCTCCGACCCACAGGCGGTGTACGACCGCATCAAGAACAAGCACTTGATGTTCGGGGAATCGCGGGAGGAAAGAGAAGTCCGCGTGGATGGTGAGCATGCCGCCCTCGCTAAGGGCAAGCTCACAGGCCACCAATTCGAGCCTTTGTTTGAGGCTTCGATCGCGGACCTTGAGGCGGTGGGTCTCGGGAAGACCCCACGAGAGTTGTATCTCTCGTACCTCCGCAAGATGCCTCCGTATCTCCAAAAGGAGATACGGAGTGACAAGCGGTTGTGGCCCGGCGATCCCAAGGATGGCGGGCTGAGAGGGCCGCAGACTTGGGAGGAGAGCCAGAAGGTCGTCTTGGAGTACGAACAGAGGGAAGCAGCTCACCGGGCTGTTTCCCACTCTGTGTACTCCACGACCGGCTCTCCAAGCGCGGACCCGTCGGTCGCGCTAGCCGAGGCTCAGAAGGAGATTAAGAGCCTCAAGGCCGCCGCTAAGGCTGCTGCGAAAGGAGCAGCTGCCGCGGCCAAGGCTGGCGCGGATCAGACGTTTGCCGCTGCGTCGAAGGGAGCTGGCAAAGGAGCGGACAAGAAGATCTGCTTCCACTTTCGCGACCACGGGAATTGCCCGAAAGGGGATGCCTGCCCGTACAGCCACGACAAGGAGCTTCGCAGAAAAGCTCTCGCGGCCAAGAAGGGTGACCAAACCTTTGCCACGGCGAAAGGCAAGGGCAAGGGGAAGGGAGGTGGCAAGGCAAAGGCCAGCGCAAAGCCTAAGGCTGCGGCCAAAGGCGCGGCAAAGCCACCAGGCACTGTTTGCCCCTTTTTCTCCAAGAATGGGTCGTGCAAGAAAGGAGCCAGCTGCGACATGGTCCACAACCTGACGACCTCAGGAGGGACGCCGGCCTTGCCTGCCAACTGGGCCCCGCCCTCCGGGGCTTCCATGTCAACCCCTTCGCCGCGTTCAGTGTCCAGATAGGCAGCTCAGGCGTCCAGGCGGGCGTCTCAGGAGCCGCAGGACGCGCCGCGGTGCAGCAGCACGCGCTTCCGTTGAGCAAGGGCGGGCGGGACAAGTTCGCCACCCTGGACGATCTGCCGAAGGACTGGTGGAGCCTGGCAGACAACGAGCCAGGAGGCTACCAGTACAGAACGGTAGTCCAGGTGCTCGACCGTAAGGTCGAGTGCATGCTCGACGGATGCGCCGGCGCAAACCACGTGACAGAGGAACTCGTGGTGGGCATGATGAACCGGGCAGCAGAGCTGGGGATCGGCACCGAAGATCCCGGCTTCCCGGTCGTGAGACTCGAAAAGTGGGTCCACCCCGAATATGTGCATGGCATTGCTTCGGGAGCCCCCGTTCCTCTGAAGGGGGCAGCAGTCTTGCGCGTCACGCTGCTGGAAGGCAGGACGGCGGACGACTGTCGCCCCAACACTGAAATTTTCGTGCGATGCAAAATCGCAGCCAGGGGGACGTCCGATTGGCACGGACTGATCCTCGGCGGCAGAGCGTTGGACTGCGCCGGAAGGATGGGCCTGGGTTTCAGGCCGGGTCCCGACTTTCACGTCCTCGACACGCTGGGAATCAGGATGCCCAGGTGTGAGGATCACAGCAAGACCCGGAAGGACAGGGCCTACGCCTTTGAAGCGCGGTTGTCGAGCCTGGACGACGCGTCATGCACCGAGCCTGGGGGCGGAAGTCGGGAGCTTCTCCGCTACGACGGGGAAGAGCCGCTCGAGCTCTCGCCAGGCGACGGGGTGCTGGTGCCAGTCGTGCGGGAGTCAGGAGTCTCCGCAGAGGGATCCCTGTCCGAGGTAGTGCTTCCGGTTGAGTGCGGGGTTGAGGCTGTGCCAGGCCTTTGGCCCACAGGAGAGGGTAAAGGGTTTGTGTTGCTTGCAGCCCAAGAGTGCGATCACTCTCTCCAGCCGGGCGAGGTTGTTGCGGAAGTGCGTTCCGGCCTCGTTAGCACTGCGGCCTGTGGTTGTGGCGCGGTTGAGACGGTGTTCGAGTCGGAGCCGTCTCCGCAGGCATGTGCGGATTGTGGGGTCGCCGTTGCCTCGGTTGACCACGACCCGTGCTTTGCTTGCGGGTCCGCGTCCAGGGCCGCGGCAAGAAGCTTCCAAGGTTGTTCCTCGTGTGCGCGGTCCTTTGGGCGGCTGCGTACCGGCGCCAGGATCGGTGTGCTGTCGGTCCTTGCTGCGGTGACTGTTCTCGCTTCGGTGTGGGGCGGGAGCGGCCCGGTTGGGCGCCCTGTTGAGGAGCCTGGAGTGCTTACTTGCTTGAACCACCTTCCAAGCGCCGACAGCTGGTGGGAGGCGCCGGGTGGTTACGCGTCTGTGTGGGGTAGGCGCCCTGCGCAGAAGGACTTTGGGACCCTGGCGGTCGAGAAGGCGCCTTACGAAACGTGCTTGCTTCAGCGCTCAGGTGAGGCGTGGCGTCTTTGGGACACGAGGGATTTGCGTGTGGCGGAAAGCGTTGCGTGCAGCGATGAGGTTCCCGTCACTGAACGCCTCGCGGTCTTTAGGACGCGCAAGGGGCCACGCTGGGCTGGCTGGCGTGAGGGATCGGCCACGGCTGGAAGAGGCGCAAGCGACGCTGTGCGCCCAGCAGACGCGGTCGACACGGCGCGCTGCCCGAGCTATCATATCGTGGAGAGCTGGGATATCGACAAGATGATCGAAGAGCCTCCAACGGACTACTATTATGAGAAGCTCGCGGCAGAT